GAGTTCTATTGAGCACCATGATTCAAAAGTTTTCGCAAAAAATGAAATTGGAAGAGTCAAACACCCAAGAGTACGTTGAAATGACGTTTTCTCACGAGTGATGATATTCGTGGTCCTATCAAGTTCGTCATTACTTGGGGGAAAAAGTGTGATTTAGTTTGCAACACCTCTTATATACAATCACATATCCACGTCAGTAGTTCGCTGCCTCTACAGATTCATTTTAACCCACTATATAGATAATTCTTTGATAGATTGTTTAGGCAGAGCATTCATGATGAAACTACAACAGGCAGTTGCTGTCCATTCTACAAAGTTTCATTATATAGATAATGTTTTTAAACCCAGTTTTCTATTATAATGCTACTTACCAAGCGTCGTTTAGGCTTGATAAGAGGCCTGTTCTGTCCGTTCATTTTATGGTAGAGACCGCAGGCGTTACAGAGGTAGTGGCCAGTGCCATCCCGGCGCCACAAAGGTGTAGAGGTCGCTCCACAGTTGACGCACTCTCGACCCTCTGGCGGAATACAAGAGAAATAATAAACAGAATGTTTAATAAGTTCTACAAAAGTAGTCTCATATCTAGAGCATTTGTATCATTTCTGTTATCTTAAACTATATGAAATTATTAGTATCGAAGGCCGCCTATCGTTTAAGTGCAAACTCTCTGAACAAACTACCTGTAGATCTAGATTACAGACACAGGACACTATTGAATTATTGATCACAATCGATTAAAGAAGAGTATTTTCATGTGTTGTTTCAGGTTTTAATCAAACTTCTCGTGCATTTTTTACATGAAGAGTTTCAAATAAAAACACTTCTTAAGAATTACAGGACACTAAGAACAATTCACTCATATATATCTAAGATTCAACTGCCTTAAAAATAGGTCACTTATCAGTACTAATAAAAATATCACGAGTTTTATACTTAAATGATGTTAGATAAAACTGACTGAAACAATCAGTTTTTTTCCTATACCAGTAATCTCAGTAGTTAGTTTGATGCATTAGTCGTCGTAGGGGAACAAAAGGGGGAGCTGATGTTGTCAGGACTACGCTCCTTTCAAACTTTCTATGTTAAAGAGTGTAGGCACGAGCCTTCAGCGTTACTATGGGTTGATCGCAGTTGAATAGTCGAGCAGCCTTTACACACGGAAATTATACAAATTTCAACCTGTCTCGCATCATCCGTTTTTAAACCTTAACAACAAGATTTTTATTATACAAACAATGTCCAGTCAACGAACGAATGACAACGCGTAAGGCACGTGCTCGCAAGCATTCCAAACCTGCAACCAAAGACCTGACCTTTTCTGTCCTAGCACTAGGAGAAGTATGTACTCGTGAAACCTAAGAATATGAATAAACCAAACCTATAATGGAAAAATTCGGGACCTACCACTTGAGCCACAAAGGAGAGGAAGAGCGATCAAATATTTTGTATACAGTAAAATTAAACTCGTTGCATGCCATGCGTTATTAAGCAGTGTCGTGACATTCAGTCGTATTCGTCAAAATAAAATAGGTTAGCTGAGAATATCTGGAACTCTTCACAAAGCCTTTACATTCTTCACATTATTTCCTATTTTATGCTCTAAATCTGTGCATTTGACAGTGAAGTGGTTATAATAACTTGCTAAATGAGCCTGTATATGTAGCTTTTAAACTCTAATAGTCTCATTCCACTTCTTGTTCGAATGCATAGGACATGAAATACTGTAGTTAGAATAGAACGCCTTTGGCATTAGCTACAATATAATATATGAATATTCGGTAGTGTTAGCTATGATAGAAAGTATAGAGCATTAGATAGTGTTAGCTACAACAGAACGCATAGGGCATTCATTAGCTTATGTTAGCTACAGTAGAAAACAGTACGTTAGGTAGTGTTAGTTGCAATCGAACACATAAGCATTAGATTATGTTAGTTACAATAGAACGCATAGGGCATCAGATAGTTTGTAACTATCAACAATAAAATGTGTAGGGGATTTGTTAGTATGAGCTACAAAACAACTTACATGACTTTATCCAATGTTAGTTATAATAGAACGCATAGGGTATTAAGTAGTGTTACTTACAATAAAACTTACATGGCTTTATCCAGTTTTAGTTATAATAGAACACATAAGGCATTAGGTGGTGTTAGTTACAATACAACTTACATGGCTTTATCCATTGTTAGTTATAATAGAACGCATAAGGCATTAGGTAGTGTTAGTTACAATACAACTTACATGGCTTTATCCAGTGTTAGTTATAATAGAACGCATAAGGCATTAGGTAGTGTTACTGTTAGTTACAAGAAACGATCGCTCAAAACTCCTAACTATTATTTAACCATAAACTGGTGTTCAAGGTGTTTTACGTCAGAAAAAGACAACTTGCACGGCTTAAAAGTATGTATAGACATGTAAGATAGCTAACCTGCATACTGGCAGACAGGGGTGAGTCCTAACTTCCATCGGTAGCAAGTACCTGCCAGTGATAGATAACAAATAATAACTGAATGATCGACTACTTATGGCTGGTACGACACATTTTAACACGGGATCGTGAATTTATTGAAATATCTGAGAAAAGAAAAAAACCTAGCAAACATTACTCAAAAGAACAATATATTCACCACCAAGTTTTTAAACCGTCAACAATAAAAGAACAGGTGCAATTAATGTTTGAAACTGAAACACCAGGACTGACAAATCAGAATACGTAAAATTCAAATATGCGCATAAACAACATCTGCTAGAAAAAAAGATTTTGAGATCTTTCTTTTTTTCTTTTCTTTTTAGAAAATAGCTGAGTTATCAATGTTAAGAGATACAGCCTCGAAATGCCGAAGTTTGAGCCAGTTACAAAAACACGATTAAATACGATTAACACAAAAAGTAACGTAGAACGTTTTCTATAAGAAAACTTATAATATCACAAATTATAGATTGAGCCGTAAATAAAGCTAAACTGAAACGTTGCTCTTGCAAGTGTTACCTAGGTAATTCAGCTCCATTGTGTATTAAGAGTTTTACTCATTATGCACTAAAGTTTTCTACAAAGTACTTGGTATAACAAAATTAAACAGTATAGATACGCTACAATATCTTGTAAAAATAAGCAGGTCAGAACAGGAACATATAATTACACAAAAATGAAACGATATACGTTTCCTGTAGAAAATATATTCACTTTCTTGGCTTCTGAGCGGCAATATTAGAGAAAATACGTTTGACTTTAATTAAAAACGCTTCAAAATAAAAAGCGATTCATTTTTACATAATTTTGAATTACTACAGTCAACAATCGAACTTTGTAGGATAAATATAGTAACGAAGAAAGACAGTAACACTAAATGCTCAACGACAAACATTATAGGTCTGCTTTTTGTTGACTATCACAAGACTGATATCAGTAATATTTGAAGCAGGAGTTTAGATTGAGAAGATGTGCCTGAAACTCTTTCGATTAGATATTTTGTTGCTTTTGTACAACTAATTAAGCGGCTCATATGGTTCGTTTGAGAATTAAGTAAGATAACATGAGTAGTTCTCATGGAAGGAAGTATAGGGGGTTTGACCTAATGCTAGACATTTAAAAGAGGGCTGCTTTGATTTAGTGCATTAATACAAAAGTGCAGACAGGTCGTCTTC